TTGAGTTTTAAGCCAACTTTTAAAATACACATCACCCGGTAGGTAGCCTGGAATCATATACTGAGAAGTGTTGTGGGGAGGGGCCGACAGTGACCAACTGATGCTCTAGCTGTTGTATCCTTCTGTTAAGGAAGGAGATGAGGTGGTTGGAGTAGAGATGGGAGAGAGAGAGACAGAGACAGAGATACTCAGGAGGAGGAAGGTGTACAAAGCTGAGTGCAGGATTCAGAAGGCACGCTTGCCCGACTTTATGCTCATTCCCCTGCTACTCTGTGCTTGATTTTGGCTAAATAAAGAAGGTTGTGCACAGGAACATGTATATGCAGCCCAGGAGAATGACCACCTGCAACTTGTGTGAACACACACGCACACACAGCTTTTAGCAAAGCCTTGCCGTTGAGCAGTGTGACCGCCCACCGCTGCTTAGCATGACATGAGCTACCGTGTTTTCTTTTAACCTGACAGACATTGTTCCCAGACACTTAGAAAGTTTGCTTCTTAAAACACATGTTTTCAATGGTCTTTTGTTTGACTGTGGTTGACCCTAGCAGCGGCGCGGACTCTCTCGTTGGGGCGCGGGCCTGCCGCGCGCGGCCGGGTAGTTGCAGCCCGCAGACTCGGTTGCTCTGCGGTGCGCGGCGTCTTCTCAGACCCGGATCCACCCCGTGTCCTGTGCGCTGCAAGCTGCACTCTCAACCGCTGGACCACCAGGGAAGCCCACGCATCGTCTTTTGGAGCAGATCAGGTGTCTGTTGACAGTAGACTGTCTGGCCCTCTCTCCCGGGCAGTGTGAGAGTGCAGTGACCTCTCAGACTGACGGGGAGTCCCCTGGGTTCCCTCGGCCGAACCCACACACCCAGTCACAGGGTTTTTTCTTCCCTAAAAATTTCTACCTGAAGTTGCAGTACAATTTGGCTTCCTAAAATGCTGATTCTAGTTTGGTCACCTGGAAGAAAAATAAAACAGAAAAAAAGAAGCCAATGCAAAATTCTTTGCCTTTTTTGCTTGACATCTTTCAGATTAAGCGTTAATAATGTCCACCGAGAATTGTGTCTTCTCTCAGCTAATCATTTGTCCTCCTTTGCAGACTCCTCATGGTGATTCGCGTTTCAGCCCCCTCTCAGCTCAGGTTGTTCTTTGACAATTGAATGATTACAGTGCAATGTTTGGAGAAGGCAGTGGCACCCCACTCCAGTACTCTTGCCTGGAAAATCCTATGGATGGAGGAGCCTGGTGGGCTGCAGTCCATGGAGTCTCAAAGAGTTGGACACGACTAAGTGACTTCACTTTCACTTTTCACTTTCACGCATTGGAGAAGGAAATGGCAGCCCACTCCAGTGTTCTTGCCTGGAGAATCCCAGGGACGGGGGAGCCTGGTGGGCTGCCGTCTCTGGGGTCACACAGAGTCGGACACCACTGAAGCGACTTAGCAGCAGCAGCAGCAGCAGCAGTGCAATGTTTAGTAGCATGAGAAGTTTTTTTTTTTTTTTCCTGGTTGGTTGTTTTAATCCGAAGCTTTCTAACAGTTGAATGAAGACTTTAAGAAGCTCAAAATTATTTACTTATTCTTCACACCTGGAGTAAGCATATAGGAAAATACGAGATTGAGACAGTTATTGTGATGAGTCAGAGAAAAGATTATTAGTAATGTATACTTTAGAATTTTGAAATATATGGTTTCTTCTACCCAGTTGAGAGTAGCTACTCAACTGACTCTATTGAGTTGGATAATGGGGCAGGAGAAGACTTGATGGTAAGGCACCTTCTCTCAGGAAAGAATCCTTTTAAGAGAGAGAAGACTTGAGTTAGGGTAAGATAAGGGCACTGTGGAATGGGAGCTAAGGATCCACAGCTCAGGAACAGGGGTGGGTGGTGGGAGGGTGCTGGGCTCCTGCCGTATGGTCTTCACTGCTTTTGCAAAAAGAATATAGACATGTAATAGAAAGTTTATCTGCAAATTAAGATAGCAGAGTTAATACTTGAAAAATTGTGGGTTTTTTTCCTATTTCTAACAATAGATGCTTCAGTACTTGTAATCAATTTAAAAGTTTCCCTCTGAGAAAAGCAATAGTCCTTCAGCCTATGATTTGAAGGTGATTTTCTAGTTTTAATGAATCTTAAAGTGGCAAGATTCCAGAACTTAAAAATTCTTCAGCATGTACCCACTTTTAGAATAACAGTTTGTCATAAAGACACGTTTACAGATACATCTGAACCTAAATGTGTATTGAGTCAGTGATACAATAATCAGAGAAGAACATTCCACGTGACTCTAGAATGAGTAGCCTGTACATTTCTAGTGAGATATCTGGGCTTCCCTGGTGGCTCAGTGGCAAAGCATATACCTGCAAAGCAGGAGAGACAAGAGGATGTGGGTTCCATCACTGGGTTGGGAAGATCCCCTGGAGAAGGGGGGATCCAGTATTCTTGCCTGGAAATCCCCTGGACAGAGGAGCCTAGTGGGCGACAGTCCATGTTGTCGCAAAGAGTCGATCGGACACGACTGATGACTGAGCGCGCATGCATGGGTTCACAGTAGTAAAGTTTTTAGTTCTTCACCTCCAGGAGAATGCTGCTGAACCAGCTCATTGTAAAACTGGTCAGTGAAGGGAACAAATTAAGCATTCATCCTGTCTCATGGCAATGAACTAACCAAGTAGTAAATGAGGTGATGTTTCTCTCTGTATTATTTGTATTAGTCAGTTTTTTGGATTGTAACCATTCTATTAGGTAGTGGAATCTGATTTTTGTTTAACTCACTAGTGACAAATGATCATCTTTTCATATTCTTATTTGCCATATCTGTATCTTCTTTTGGCAAAGTGTCAGCTCTTTGACTCGTTTATAATTGTGTTTTTTTTTTCTTGTTGAGTTTTAAGCTTTCTTTGTATATCTCAAATAGAGTTCATTTATCTGGTATGTAATTTGGCAAATAGGACTTGTACGTATAATATGCACTAAGATGAAATGAGGTGACATTGAGTCAATTAGACTTTACGTTTTCAACCTGGGTTTCTGGAAGAATGGAGACTAGTAGTAACAGGGAAAAGAGTTAAACCCAGTTTGGGAATAAGTGGGAAGAAGATGACTCACATAGCTTTGAGTCAAGATGGAACTTGAGGTGATGGAAGAATTTCCAAACTAGAGATCAAAAATATACTAAGATTCTTGATTCAGATTTTGCTGTCATCATCGTAGATTATTGTAGAGAAAGCAGAGGTGAAGAGCAAATAGAAAGTTAGGATAGGAACCATATTATGTCACAAAAGTGATACAAGGAAGCTTTAAGAAGGAATCAAATGTTAAACTTGTTCCACTATTATAGGCATAATCAGAGTGTGAATATAACTTTGTTTTCTTGAGGTCAGATCAGCTCTCAGCTTACTTCTATTCTGTGCCTTTTGTATCTGGAGACTAACTTGCTTTGTCAAGAGAGCACTCTCTTACTTTAATGAGTCTCATATCTTTCAGTACCTTATAGAATTTCTCAAATTGAATTTTACATCCCTGAGGCTCTTTTCAGGGCTAACATGGACTGGGTCTTGTTTCTTTATTAATCTAATTCAACTACGTAATTATATAAGATCTATATCATTTGAATCGAGTGCTTAACTAATAATTGAATTGAATTCATTGAAATAAATCATTTACTTTCTCATAAGATACCATTCTGTTGTGGAATCCTGCAGTTGTGACTTTAGTCCCCAGCAGAATTAATCAATACGTACGAGTTCTGTGCCTTGCCTGGTGCTGCAAGCCTACAGCCTGTTCTCTGAAGTCACAACGATATGCTTCGTTTTTTCTTTTCTGCATCTAATAGTACGAATTTCCATTGCCTTTCCCACCTAACCGTCCCTAAGGATGGTAATTTATTGAATAATTCACAGAGTATTCAGTAGTACTCTGAATAATTATTTTAAATAATTAAAATCACTGAATAATAACTACTGATAGCCTGTGATTTTTAGTACTTTAGTGAAATGGCATACCAGCCTGAAGCAAAAGTTTGACAATTATGATTTTATATTTTTTAAGTGAAGATCTGCGAAAGTTCCTTGAAAATTCTGTGTCTATTCAACAGTTATTATTAGACTTTGAAGATTATTTTTGTGAAATGGGCTATACATATTGAATATCAATGAAAAAATGTTGAGGTTATTTTGGACTGGACATCAGTTGTATCATTGGATTTAGTGGCCCTGAGAAAAAGGAGAATTTGTGTTATAAACAGTAAAAGATAAGAACTTATTCATTAAACATGTTTTTAGCACCCAAAATCTATTAGTACTTTACTCTCCTGTTTGATCCTCTTACTAGAGTTTTCACTTTTGTTGTGTTGAATGTATGATAATTACTTACTTAAAGTAGAAGTACTTTGTAAGGCTTAACCGCACAACACTAGAATACAGCATTGCTTCAAATATAACACTGAAATTTATTGTCGGAAAACAGCTGTGTAACATGATGAAATATCTATAGTTTAAAATTTCTGAAGTTCTAACTTTTTTTCTACTTTTTCAAAGTGGTAAAACGTAAATAACACAGAATTTGCCATTTTAAGCATATCAAGTATATAATCAGTGGCATTAATGATACTCACAGTGTGTGCAACCATCACGCCTGTCTGCTTCCCAAACCAGAAACTCTGTACCCACAAAGCAAATAACTCCTCATTCTCCTTTTCCTCAGCTCCTGGAAGCCACTACTTTGCTTTGTCTCTCTGAATTTACCCGGTCCAGAGGTTTCCCATAAGTGGAATCATTTAGTATTTGCCCTTTGTGTCTAGCTGATTTTATTTACCATACTGTTCTTAAGTTTTTTCCATGTTGTAACTGAACTTCATTCCTACTTATGGTTGAATCATAGTCCATTGTATGTATGTATATTTTTTAAAATATCTATGTGCTAAATCTATCTTTATAATGTGTCATTTTTCCATATCTTTGATGTAAACAAAGATGTCACATTGGTTAATTTTATTTTGTTCAATTCTTTTACAGATTTGACAGATGAAAAAGTGAAGGCCTATCTTTCTCTCCACCCTCAGGTATTAGATGAATTTGTGTCTGAAAGCGTTAGTGCAGAGACTGTAGAAAAATGGCTGAAGCGGAAAAACAAGAAATCAGAAGGTAAGACCTCGTTCAGATTGAGTGTTGGATTTTTTTCTGTTTCATAGTGACAAAAAGGTGTTTGTCACTTACCAAAAAATGCTAAAAGTAAAAAGAGACAAATATTAGTACATTAATTCTGTAAAAATTGTATTCCGTTTAAAAAGATAAAAAATAAGTTAGAATGAGAAGAAATAAATACAAAAGAATGATCTTTAAAAAAAATTATCTTTTGTCAAAAAATTGAAAATTTGTTTAGATATGACCACATTGAAAAATCTGGAAGTTAGTATTAGACTTGATTTTATGTAATTATTATTATGGGTTATAAAAAAATTCCAAATATATTTATATTATTATTACATTTTGCAAAATAAATTATTGAAACAATTTTTATATGTGCACAGTAGGAAAATTGAGTTGCATTAGATGTTTCACTTATACTTATAAACTTAGGATATGGTTATATTTATGAAAAATGGAAGGTGGGCTCAAAAAAAACATGTGAAGTCAAATGAATTTCCTCGAGTTGAATCTGTATTAATATATTGACTTTAGATATTGTAGTGTTTTAATTTTGGATTTAGATGAATTTATATTTGGCTGATTATGACTTCTCATTTCTATGAATGTTGTTTTTATAGTAGAAATTAAAATTTGTATATAATTTTAATTTATGGAGAACTTTTGTATAAGCAAACGTGTGTACTGCTTTTCTGAAAATTTTTAGTGTGACAAAAATGCTACACTTAAAGTTCAGAAATGACCATTAGTAAAATATCACGCTGTTAGACCCATGCTACTGAGCATTGTGCTTGAGGCCACGTTTCCTTACTCTACATAAGGAAGTTTCTGTAGCTTTCTGACATAATTTTTACAAGAAGAAAGAGGTTAATTTTTTAAGAAAGAGAGCTTTGGATATTGAAGCACAAAATGGTCTTTAAAGTACATGTCCACAGGTATGTATGAATGTGTGTGCCTGTATGTGTGGATTGAAAGGGAAGGGGAAAAAGGAGAAAGAGAGAGAAATATACATATATCAGAGACAGGCATATTTTTTTCAAAAGGTTCATAGCACTAATAGAATAAAGCTTGACATGGCATATTTCATTTATTATTTTTTTTCATTTATTTTTATTAGTTGGAGGCTAATTACTTCACAGCATTGCAGTGGGTTTTGTCATACATTGACATGAATCAGCCATGAATTTACATGTATTCCCCATCCCGATCCCCCCTCCCACCTCCCTTTCTACCTGATCCCTCTGGGTCTTCCCAGTGCACCAGGCCTGAGCACTTGTCTCATGCATCCAGCCTGGGCTGGTGATCTGTTTCACCCTAGATAATATACATGTTTCGATGCTGTTCTCTCAAAACATCCCACCCTTGCCTTCTCCCACAGAGTCCAAAATTCTGTTCTGTACATCTGAGTCTCTTTTTCTGTTTTGCATATAGGGTTATCGTTACCATCTTTCTAAATTCCATATATATGTTTTAGTATACTGTATTGGTCTTTATCTTTCTGGCTTTCTTCACTCTGTATAATGGGCTCCAGTTTCATCCATCTCATTAGAACTGATTCAAATGAATTCTTTTTAATGGCTGAGTAATATTCCATGGTGTATATGTACCATAGCTTCCTTATCCATTCATCTGTTGATGGGCATCTAGGTTGCTTCCATGTCCTGGATTTTATAAAGCATATTTCATTTATTATACACCTTACACATATGAAAATAATTTGAGATGTTTGAAACTTTTAAGTGTGACTGAGTTGTGCTTAAGGCAAGGTGCAAATTTCAACTTGCTGTATAATGATGGGTAATAAAATGATGCCAAATTACATGATGTCAACATTGTTAATCAATTATACTCCAGTATAAAATAAAAAGTTAAAAAACATATATGATGTCTGTTAAATACAAAATTGAGCATACTTAGAAAATGAAAGAAACTGCAGACTGTTTTACTGGTGGCTCAGCTGGTAAAGAATCCACCTGCAATGCGGGAGTCCTGATTTCAATCCCTGGGTTGGGAAGATCCCCTGGAGAAGGGAATAGCTACCCACTCCAGTATTCTGGCCTGGAGAATTGCATGGATACAGTCCATGGGGTCGCAAAGACTCAGACACAACTGAGCGACTTTTCACTTTCACTCTGGCATGGCATGGATAGTTTTCTTTTAAATTTTATAAATATTTGAATGCATTGCTTCATATCTCCCGAATCTGTTCTCTATACTAGTTAACCAAATAATCCTTTAAAGTACTTGATACATATACTCAGGAATTAAATGATTAATAAGAATAGCAATGTGTGATTGAAACAGTACTCAGTTATGCTGGAAGAAAACCTTGTTCTTATAGGAAGATGATTTTGAAAGAGACCCTGTGCAGGGCTAGACTGCTGCTGCCACCAAGAATGTGAATGAAACGTCCCCTTGGGGCTCACCGTCCAGTGGTGGGAACAGGCCAAGAAGTGACCGCATCGCAGGATGCATCAGTAGTGAACAAGGATGCAGGCAGTTGGCAGTGAAAGCGCAGTGAAAAGAACCTTTAATTCTGCTGCCAGGGGCTGGGGTCTGGTAAGACCCTTTCTACCTCCTTTTCCAGAGAGTTCATCGCAAGAATGTATCTGATTACACCCCCTTTATATTCAGTGAGATTCTGTAGCCTGGCCCCTGCAGACTGTTTAAAGGCAAAATGTAGTGCTGAGCTTGCATGAGTGACATGAGAAAGCATCTACTTTGAGATGTAGAAAGCCACTTAGATATCTTGATTTCATTTATGTGGTTACAGATTAAAGTAGTGGTGGTTCTCTGAAACATCCTGTGTCTTTTCCCTCACTGTCTTCTTATTACTTTAAAAAAAAATTCTGTGTTTTTCTCAACTAGACTTTATTCTGCTTCCAACCCCTTTCATTGAAAATGTCTTGAGGAAGACAGTTTTTGTGGGGAGGTTTTTTTAGGGAGTGTTTGCATTTCCATGTGTGAACCCAGAAACAGGAAGTGTGATAGCTAGAAGGATCTTGGAGAATAGTTTGTTGAAAATGAGATGAGCCTGCCCAAATTACTTCACTTTGTGTCAGTTTAGTAAAAGAAAATGAAGTTAAGGAAAGCTGTGCTATAATAAATAATTTGCACAATACCTTGTACATTGTAAATACTCAGTAAATATTTACTTTTTTAAACACTGAAAAACCAGCCTCGTATGGAAATGATCTACCTTATGGGGCAGAAAATTGTGTAAAGGCATATTCTGCCTAGAGAAAGATATACAAAAATGCAAACTTTTAAACAAATAAATAAAGGGTTATTTAAATTACAGAATCATACCTGCTTTTAAAATGGTCAGCTTTTACACTGCTCCCCTGTGTTTATTTTTTTTAATGCTGACTCTGCACTATTAGAGAAGCTAGTTTTTGTCTCATTTAGTGTTTATCTACTGTTTGCTTGCTGCTTAGAAGGCAGAGTGCTTAAAAAAATAGAGACTGCGTGACACATTTTATTTAAACTATGATTAATATCACGACCGCAGAGCAGCTGTAATTTTCAGGGCACTTCGCGTACACTCGCCCTTTACCTCTGGTTAAGTTAATGGGGATTAAGCTTGGGTTCCTTTGGTAGGTGTTGACGCTGAGCCAGGAGAGGCTGAGGGGTCACTGAAGGTTCAGTGTCCGGGTCTCAGTGGAGTTACTGCGCAGTGCCTCCACGAGCGGATTGGGGCGTAGACTAAGTGTGTTGTGGTTATTTTGATTTTTCTCACCTAACAGCGCTCTTGGTGCATACTAGGATGATTCTGTAAACACCACTGTGGGTGGTTTTTATTTAATAAATGATTACATCAGGGAAGGTTACATTCTCATCCTCCAAGTGATCCACTCTGACCCTTTCACTGCACTTGGTGATCATGTTACACTGACACCAGAACTATTTTTATGTTCTTCTTATCTCCCCCATAGTCATTTAAAAGCTTCTTGAAGAAAGGAGCTGTATAATATATGTTTTTAAATCCCTTGAGAGACCTTGTCTTTCTATTTACTCAGCAAACTATGTGTGAAGCCCTTTTTAGGTCCTGGAATTATCAAGTTTCTGAGGAATTCACAGTCCCTCAAATAGAAGATGACAGAGAAGTTTCTGCTTTATTCTAGTTAGTCTGACAGCCAGCCGGAGTGGCCCTGTGAGGGGACCAGGACACTTGGTCTTTTGAAGTAGACCACGGGTCACTGTCTGCGCTTTGTGGAAGAGAAGAGGGTTTGGGGAAGAGGAACCTCCACATGGCCACAGAGGTTTAAACTTCAGAAGTCTTCACTCTTACCGTTTCCAGTTTAATTTTATTGCTGTCATACTGTTTTCATTTTAAATCCATCAAGTTCTATCTGTACTTTTGAGGCCAATTGTCTTTTGAAGGTTGACCTCTGATCCTAAATCCTAAACAGTGGATTTTCAGTAATGTTTGGAAATTGGAGATAGCGTTTATTTCCCTGATAAGCTCTTGTACTCTTTTAGAGAATATATAAACATTTCCTCAGAAAGCACTGAGGCCTGTACACTCTCACAGCTCTACTTCCATTTGGGAAAAACTTAGGAAAGAAAGAAAATTGTCCAGGTCATGAATTGTTTCACTAACTGTTATATTTTATGCTGATTTTTATGCAAAGTAAACTTGATGGGCCCAGCTGGTACTCATCAAGACTCAGCCTGCTGAACTATTCAGCATCTACACAAATCTCAAAGTATAAATATAAAATTAGTAAATAAACATTAGAATATGATGCAGATCCAACTAGTTGCATATTTTGAAAAAGCAGTCTGTGATGGAACACAGTTCATATCCTGGTGCTGTTTGAGGATTTCAGCTGGCAAGGGAAGGACTGTTACCTCCACTGTGGTCCTTTACTCACAATTATTAGTTGATAGTATTGGTGCTATTAGAAGGGGTGCATGAAGAAGTCAGCATGACTCTATTTGGAATCTTCCGGTAGTAGAATAAAGCTTAAAATATGTGGATTTTGCTTAAAAAC